GAGGTCGAGCTTCCCCTGCTGCCCGCGGAGGACGGCGACCCCGCGGCCCCCCGGGTCAGCCTCCCCGCCGCCGCCGCCGTGCCCCGCTTCGGGGTCCACACAGACCAGGAGGGGCAGCTGGCCAAGGTGGGTCTCCCGGAGCCGCGGGCCTCAGTTTCCCTCCCCGACGCCGGGCGGCCGCTGACTGACTGGTCGCTTGCAGGAACTTGAAGACACCAACAAGTGGGGGCTGGACGTGTTCCGAGTGGCCGAGCTGAGCGGGAGCCGGCCGCTCACAGCCGTGGTGTTCAGCGTCCTGCAGGTCCCTCCCCCCGCCGACACCCGCGGGTCCAGCCCCAGCTCCCCTGAGCGGGTGGGGCCACTTAGACGACAGGAATTGACCGGGCCTAGTAACTGCTGTATAAATCTATTTATTTCTATTTTATGTACACCGGTGTTGGCCATGGGCGCCGCGCCCCTGAAACCGGAGTCAGAGACGGTTGTGAGCTGCCGTGTGGGTGCCGGGACCCGAACCCAGGGCCTCTGGGGGAGCAGCCGGTGCTCCTGGCCACCGAGCCATGGCTCCAGCCCCGTCATAGCTGTTTTAGACCCGGCCCAGCCTGTCCTGGCCTTGAAAAGGCCGGGATTGGAACAGCGGCCCCCGAAGTGTGGGCAGGCGGCAAAGATGAAGGGGTTCAGGGGCCACGCACCAGGGCCCCCCGGGGAAGGGCGCGGAGGACGGACAGGAGTCGGGTGCGGCCTGAGCCGGTCTGTGGCACCCCAGGAGCGGGACCTGCTGCAGACGTTCCGGATCCCCGCGGACGCGCTGCGGGCGTACCTGCTCACGCTGGAGGGCCACTACCGCGCCGACGTGGCGTACCACAACAGCGTGCATGCCGCGGACGTGGTGCAGTCCGCGCACGTGCTGCTGGGCGCCCCCGCCCTGCAGGTACCCCGGCCAGCCGAGCGCAGTGGGCGGGCGCGCGTGCAGTGGGCACCCCCGGGCCTGACGCCCAGGGCCCGCCCAGGCCGTGTTCACAGATCTGGAAGTCTTGGCCGCTGTCTTTGCATGCGCTATCCACGACGTGGACCACCCGGGGGTCTCCAATCAGTTCCTCATCAACACCAGTGAGTGAGGGGACCGGAGACCGCGGCCGGTGACTCACCCTGGCGCGCAGACGCGGAGGCGCGCCCGGGGCGTGCATGGCTTTCTGCATGAAGGGGCATTGGAGTTTGGGCTTCACCGCATGCTTAGGAGTTGGCCAGTGACGTCCCCTCCCCAGCTGCCTTTGGGAGGAGTGGGGTCGAGGCCCGGCTGTCCCCACAGACTCGGAGCTGGCGCTGATGTACAATGACGTGTCGGTGCTGGAGAACCATCACCTGGCCGTGGGCTTCAAGCTCCTGCAGGGAGAAAACTGCGACTTCTTCCGGAACCTCAGCGCCAAGCAGCGACTGAGTCTGCGCAGGATGGTCATCGACATGGTGATGTCAGGGCGCGGGGCGGGGCCCTTTCTCCCTGGCGCCGTCGCGGTTCTGCGTCGGCCCTGCTGGCGGGTCGGGCTCTCGGGTCCGTCTGCGCACTCGACGGGCGTTCCCTCCGTTATTGTTTACATTTGGGAACTCACGGCCCCGCCTCCGCGTCCGCGCCCACAGGCGGGCGGCTCAGCTGGCGGCTGTGCCGGGGCGCGGGGCCCCGGGCGGGTGACGCCCCGCGTGCGTCCACCCCGGGTGTCCCCGGAGTTCCAGAGCCCCGGGTGGGATCCTGCCTCCCCTCTCCGCCCGCCATGGCTCCCTGTGCTCAGCTCAGCTGCGCCCCGGGGCCTTTGCCCTTCCGCCCTCGCTCCCGCTGGGGACACTGAGGCACAGAAGGTGCAGAGCGCAGCATCCGCGACTTCGTGCCCTCCCCAGGTGCTGGCCACAGACATGTCTAAGCACATGAGCCTCCTGGCCGATCTCAAGACCATGGTGGAGACGAAGAGGGTGACCAGCCTCGGGGTGCTGCTCCTCGACCATTACTCTGACCGCATCCAGGTGCGCCGGCGGCCCGGAGCCTCAGTTTCCCGCTTTAGTTTTCTGGGACAGATTCCCACTCCGTAGCCTAGGCTGCCCGGGAACTCGTCATCCTCGTGTGCCAGGCTCCCGAGTGCGGCCACTAAAGGCGCACACACCGCAGGCCTCAGTTTCCCCCCCTGGGCACTGAGCTTTTTAGGGCCGCGGTGGGGTGTGGCCCGCCCTCCCGAGGCCCCGCCCTCCCGAGGTCCCGCCCTCCAGAGGCCCCGCCCTCCAGAGGCCCCTCCCTCCAGAGGCCCCGCCCTCCCGAGGCCCCGCCCCGCCCCGCAGGTCCTGCAGAGCCTGGTGCACTGCGCCGACCTCAGCAACCCCACCAAGCCGCTGCGGCTCTACCGCCAGTGGACCGAGCGCATCATGGCCGAGTTCTTCCGGCAGGGGGACCGCGAGCGGGAGCTGGGCCTGGATGTCAGCCCCATGTGTGACAAGCACTCGGCCTCGGTGGAGAAATCCCAGGTGTGTGCTGGGCCGCGCCCTGCTGGGCTTGGGACCTGGGGAGCCCGGAGCCGTGGCTGCCCCTGCCGGCGTGGGCCCGCGCTCCGCCCCAGGGCGCTTTGTTTTTCCAGACGGGGTTTCCCTGTGTAGCCCTGGCTGCCCTGGAACTCGCTCTGTAGCTCAGGCTGCCCTGGAACTCGCTCTGTAGCCCAGGCTGGCCTCGAACTCCTGACTCTCCTGCCTCCACCTCATAGTACCGGTGTTGGTAACTCTCACTTTGCCGTGAGGGCACCATGGGGCAGAGGGAGCCCTGGCTAGAAGATGTGAACTGTTGGGTGACCCAATGAAGGGTCTGTCCTGCTGAGGGGTCTCAGTTTCCCCAATTTTCCCTGGTAACTGCTAAACACACACTCGCCTGTTGAGGTCACATATCTGAGTTCAGCCAGGGCCCAACATTCAACAGGCACTTCGTCTTTATTTTTACTCTTTCAAGACAGGGTTTCTCTGTGCAGCCCTGGCTGTCCTGGATCTCGCTCTGTAGCCCAGGCTGGTCTTGAACTCAGAGATCCACCTGCCTCTGCCTCCCAGTGCTGGGATAAGGGGTGCCCATCACCGCCTTGCTAGGGCAGACTCCTGATTTGTTGTTTTGAAGACAGTCTCCTTTTGTCTGAAGTCTGGTATAGAACTCACTGGCTTGAGATCAGCCTGCCTCAGTTTCCTGAGTGTTGGACCAAGATGAGTTCTTTCAGGAGGGTTTTGAAGGTTGAATAGGAGTTGAGAAATGAGCATTCCAGGCACAGGACACCATGCAGGTGACCTTGGGATTGGGCTGATTTCAGGCTTCACTGTGACTTACTTGCCCTTTGCGGTCCCCTAAGGTGGGATTCATTGACTACATCGCCCACCCGCTGTGGGAAACCTGGGCCGACCTGGTGCACCCCGACGCCCAGGAGCTGCTGGACACCTTGGAAGACAACAGAGAGTGGTATCAGAGCAGAATACCGGGCAGCCCCACCCTCACCGCGGGCCGCGAGCGCCCCGGCCCTGACAGGTTCCAGTTTGAGCTGACCCTGGAGGAGGCGGAGGAGGAGGACGGATAATGACGGACAGGCTGGGCGCTGGACACCCAGCCCTCAGGGTCCCGGCACTTAGCGCCTGTCCCCCAGGACAGCCCAGGGTGCAAGGTCTGCCTTCTCCAACAACAGGGTCGTGGGCCCGCCTGGCTCGGCCGTGAAGTCCCCGGCAGCCCCGGGCACCCCCGGCGCTGGTGACCCTGCAGCGACGCCCGTGGTACCGGCTTCTCTTCCCACCCGGGCCGCTCTGGCCGCAGCTTGGCTGGAAAGGCCGGTGCCTGGGCGGTGCCTCCCCGACTCTGCTCCGGCTCCAGCCTGCGCGGGCTGGGGCGCTCTCTGCCTTTCCTTCACTGTTTGGACTCTTTTCGATGCAGAAGACGGAAGCCGGGTCCCCGTGCCCTGTGAGCAGAGGGACCCCAGCCCCCGGGTCACTGTGTCCTTGACCAGATGTCCTGACACAGACTGAGTCCCCGGGGAGACCCCTGTTGTAAACAGAGGCAGGGACCACCCCCCGAGGTCCAGTGTCTCCTGACTCCAGAGACTGCAGGTGACCGTCCCAGGAGGCGCCCACAGGCCTCTGTGTCCCTGCGATCTGCTCACACGGTCACTAAACATGGCTGGCGGGACCCATGCGGGGTCTCGCTGTAGAAACCTGGAGATGGAGCCAGGCAGTCCTGCAGCACAGCTTCACGGATGGGACCAACCGGGTGTGCAGGGCACAGCGGACTCAGCCTGGGCCCCAGACTCAGGAGGGGCGGGGGTGAGGTGCTGTGCGGGCCCAAGAGAGGCTGGGGGCGTGGTCAGGGTGGAGCCCCTGCCTAGAGTCCCCAGTGAGGGGCTGGGGGCGTGGCTCAGGGGTGGAGCCCCGCCTAGAATCCCCAGTGAAGGGCTGGGGGCGTGGTCAGGGGTGGAGCCCCGCCTAGAATCCCCAGTGAAGGGCTGGGGGCGTGGCTCAGGACTGGAGCCACGCCTAGAATCCCCCAGTGAGGGGCTGGGGGCGTGGTCGGGGTGGAGCCCCGCCTAGAATCCCCAGTGAGGGGCTGGGGGCGTGGTCAGGGTGGAGCCCCGCCTAGAATCCCTAGTTAGGGGCTGGGGGCGTGGTCAGGGTGGAGCCCTGCCTAGAATCCCCAGTGAGGGGCTGGGGGCGTGGTCAGGGTGGAGCCCCGCCTAGAATCCCCCAGTGAGGGGCTGGGGACGTGGTCAGGGTGGAGCCCCGCCTAGAATCCCCCAGTGAGGGGCTGGGGGCGTGGTCAGGGGTGGAGCTTTAGCATGTGGGAAGTGCTTCATTCCTTTTCCGGCACTGCAGAGATAGAATAGACCTTGTCAGGCCCATCATTCCCTTGTGGGGAAACTGCGGCACAATTCATCCCTCATGCTTCTCAGAAGGTCCACGCAGACAGTGGGCACTGGGTTCGGGTGACCTCGGCACCCGTGACTGATGCCCTGTTCACCATTGTTTTCTGTTGAGCCCCGGTCTCCTGTTGCCTGTTCTGAGTCCCGCTCACTGCAGCAGAGGATCACACCGAACTGATTTTCTCGCCCCCACCTCCCACGTGCTTGGCCGGGGTGACAGGCGTGCGTCATAAGCCTGTCCCCTCTCTTCCCTGTTCCCTCTGGGTCTGTAACTCAGCAGCGCAGCGCAGGGTGGCCGGCGACTTCCTCTGTAAATATTATGGTTCCAGATATTTGTTCCCGGGAGGCACAAAAGCCGCCTGTGGTCACGCATGGAATGTTCCTTCTTCCTTCCAGATGTTTTAGGGACAACCTTAGAGGTTTCCTGTTAAAGTAGTATGTGCTCACTGCGGGGGAATTTGTAAGTCACACAAAAGTATAAAGAAAATAAACTACTGGGCCAGCAAGATGGCTCCGCAAGCCAAGGCGCCTGCCTCCGAGCCTGACACATGAGAGAACCGACTCCCACACAAATAAATGAGTATAACTTAAAAAATGTGGCGCACGTCTAATCCCGGCACTCGGGAGGCAGAGGCAGGGGGATCTCTGTGAGTTCGAGGCCAGCCTGGGCTACCAAGTGAGTTCCAGGAAAGGCGCAAAGCTACACAGAGAAACCCTGTCTCGAAAAACCAAAAAAAAAAAAAAAAAAAAAAAGTGTCCAGCGGGGCAGTGGGGCGCACGTCTTTAATCCCGGCACTCCGGAGGCAGAGGCAGCAGAGCGAGTCCGGGACAGCCAGGGCTGCACAGAGAAGCCCTGTCTCCAAAGCAAAAAGATGTGAGAAATACTCATGCTGTTTCCCTCTGCTGTCCTGTCATTCTCCTAGGCTTCACACACCACACACACACAGACACCACACATACACACCACACACGTGCACACACACCACACGCACACACACACACGCACGCACACACACACGCACAGTTTCCGAGACAGGGTCTCTGCGGAGCCCTGCCTGTCTTGAGCTCACAAGGTCACCTCCATCTCAGAGATCCGCCTCCTCTGCCTCCCCAGCGCTGCTGGCTTTGAGGTTTCCGCCACCATGCCTGGCCGTTCTGAATATGTTTACATTAGGAGACAGAGTCTCACTCAGCGTCCAGGGTGAGGAACTCACGGCCCTCACCTACCAAGTGCGCAGATGACAAATTGTGTCGCCACCGACTGAGCTACACGCGCTACTCGCCGAGCCTCGGCCCCTATTTTTATTTTGAAATAAAAAGGCACCGGAGGCGGCCCACGGCTCCTCCCCAGAGTTTATCCCTTGGGAACAGATCCCAGCCCGGCGAGGGCGCCTCAAGCTCCTCCCCGCACCCCTCTGTCCGCACACCCGTTCCTGGTCCCCACCCTAGCCTCCGGGGGGCGGGGCGCTGCGACCTAACCGACTGGTGGTCATTTGTGTCTGTGGCTCTGCATGCCCTGCTCGCTGCTGCGGGAGGGGAGCAGAAAAACAAGCTTCCCGTGGCCCCGGAGCGGGCGGAGCATCGCAGGCTCCTCGCGGGGGCGGCCGAGCATCCAGGCGACAAGTTATTCTGGTCCCTCGGCGCCTCCGCACCCGGCGGTGTGGTCTCCAAACGGGGCCAGTTCTGCTTCCTTGCGGGGTGGAGGCGATGGGACCCTCCCGGGCCCAACGCGGGGGGACAAGTCTCCAGGCTGGGTCCGCTGCGTCTCCGGCCCAGTTCCCACCTTGGCGGGAAGATGTGCAGGAATGCATTGTCTTACATCAGAGCCCGGAAGTCTGCATCTCTGCGCACAGCTTCCGGGGACACAGGATCGCCTGGGCCCCAGTGTCCACACCGTGAAGGGCGTGCGGTGGCCTCCCTCTCTGAACTGCCTTTGCTTCCTGGGTCCTTCATTGCAATTTCGGGACTCAGAGCTCAGGACATTTCTGAGCTCTAAATGCACAGAGAAGCCAGGGCAGCATCAGTTCTTTTTTCTCTGCGCAGAACCGGACTCGTTCTTTGAGACAGGGTTTTATGTAGCCCAGGCTGGCCTCAAGGCACGATTTAGCTGAGGATGACCTTGGAAATCTGTTCCTGCCTCTCTCTTCCCAGTGTGAGAAAGCAGGCGGACACCACTCTGTCATGCTGCGCTAGGGATCGAACCCAGGGCTTTATGCAGTATGCAGGCTCCTCACCAAACTGAGAAATATCCTACGCCGGTTAAAAAGACCTACGCCGGGCGGTGGTGCACACCTTTAATCCCAGCAAGCCGGAGGCAGCGGCAGGCCTGGTCTACAGAGAGAGTTACAGAAGAGAAACCCTGTCTTGAAAATCCAGAGAGAGGGGGGGATTTTTTATGTATGGGTGTTTGGCTTGCATGTGTGTGCACACGTGCACACCTGAAACCATCTCTCAGCCCCCCCCCCCCTTTTTTTTTAATCTAGAGAGGGTCTTGTGTAGCCCAGGTTGGCCGGGAACGCATTATAACCAAGGATGACTGTGAGTTCCTAGTTCTCCCTTCTGGACGTGCCCCGCATGCCTTGCGCGGTGGTGTCCCTCTGGTCCGCTCTTCTTCATCACAACTGCGGACCCTGGAGATGGGGCGGGGCCTCCAGGCCGGGCCCGTCGGAGAAGGCCCAGGGCTCCCGCACACCGACAGTGGACAGGCGCTTCCTCCCGCCCTCCTCTCCTCCAGCTCTGTGTTGTGTTTTGGAGACAAGGTCTGACTGTGAATCCCTGGCCCGCAACTCCAAAGGTTCGCCTGCCTCTGCCTCCTGAGAGCTGGGATTAAAAACCCTGTCTTTTCTTCTTCAATGGGTCTTTTGAGACCTCAACTGTGGTGAGCGAGGTGCAGAAGTTCAAGGTCAGCCTCTGCTGTTGGCGACTTCGATGCCAGCCTGCTTCATGAGACCCTTTCTCAACCCGCAACCAAGCTCCTTGGTGCCTCCCGGAAGGGGTCCCGCACGTTTCTGAAGGGCTGGGGGGCTAGGGTCAAGTCCGCGACGGGGGCTGGACCCCGGCCTCAGCCTCCCCGCCCTTCAAACACCTGGCAGTCCCCATTGGGCCGCCCAAGACGTCAGAGAATGCTGATTGGATGAGGAGTCCGTCGCTCGAGAGCGGCCGCCAATAAAACCTCCAGGTCTCCTCAGAGCCCCGCCCCCAGCGGCTCGCCATGCCCCGCCCCCCGGGCCCGCGCTGGCCAGTGGGGCCCCGCGGCTGCCGCCGGCCCCGCCCTCTGACGTCACAGCCTCGTTTGCATAGAGAGTGCCGCCCCCGGCTTTGCAGGACGTCAGCGAAGACTGCAGGGGCCTGAGCCTCCGCCGCCGCTGCAGCCCCGCGCCGCTCCTGGGGCCCGGTCGCCCGTGCAGTCGCCAGGGTCGCCGCCGTCAGCGTCGTCTCAGCTCGGAGCGGGCAAGGTGAGCGCCGCCCGGGGCCACACACCGCGGGCCCGCGTTTGATTGACAGCTGGGGAAGAAGGGGGGCGCGCGACTCGGGCGTGGTGGCTCTGGGTCTCGCGTTCGGCTTCCCGCACCCCGCAGTCTTCACCCTTTGCCCGGCACTGGGTCCCGGGCTCTGCGACAGAGGGGGAGGGGAAGGCCAGGCCTTGCGGGAGGCTGATGCGTGCGCGTGCTCGTGGGGTGAACACGCGTGTGCGCGCCCGCTGGTCATGGATAGGCTCGCGTGACCTCAGGACGCGCACCGTGCACGGTGGTGGAACCTTGTGCGTGCATGGTGCGCGTGCGCGGTGTGCGTGGGTCCGAGTTCAAGTATGCGCTGACACGCGTGTGGAGCCATGCGCGCGGGTGCGGTGTGTCCTCGTCAATGGCCGGGTGTAGACGCATGCACTGGCTGATGCAGGGGAATCTGCGTGTGCAGTCGTGCATGGGCGCAGTGAGCCGTGCACATGCATGGGCTGGCAAACACCATGCGCGTTGGCTTTCTTCTCCTAGCCCCACTCTGGCACGCAGGGCAGGGGTTTGGGTCAGCCTGCCTTGGATGCTTCACTGTGTGTGCATGCGCGCGAGCGATTTGTGCATGTCAGCCTGTGTGCGCCCGTCTCTATCACGTGATACGGCTATCTCAGGGTCCCAGTTCTTCCAGGAGAGGAGTAAGGATGAGGGAAAATTGGGGATCCTCAGGTACTCATGCTGTCGCGCTCCCGCGTGGGTCTCTTTAGGGTAATGAGAGACTGATGGGAAGGTGGGTCCCGCCTCGGTCTCCTCTCGGGGTGCAGGGAGATTCGGGGTGCCAGGGACCTGCAGAGGGGTTCCCTTCACAGCTTCCTTGGAGTGTTGCGCCTGCCAAGGTCACAGCCCGGCCTGTGCTGTGGGGCCCATGTGACACTGGGGTCCTGGTGGACTGAGTGTCTGGCACCCTTGTGCATGCCCATCCCGGGCCGTGCCCTGCTGCACCCCTCAGGCCCTCTGCGCCCCGCCCTGCAGATGGCATCGGCCACAGACGCGCGCTATGGGCAGAAGGAGTCCTCCGACCAGAACTTCGACTACATGTTCAAGATCCTGATCATCGGGAACAGCAGCGTGGGAAAGACCTCCTTCCTCTTCCGGTACGCTGACGACTCCTTCACACCGGCCTTCGTCAGCACCGTCGGCATCGACTTCAAGGTCAAGACTATCTACCGCAACGACAAGAGGATCAAACTGCAGATCTGGGTACGTGGGCCAGGGGAGAAGTCCCCGCCTGCAGCTGGCGCGTGAGCGCGCCTGGGTGTCCGGTGTGAGCAGGCAGCTGGGGAGTCGAGGATGCCCAGAACTCCAGATCCTCCTGCTTCCACCTCCCCAGTGCCAGGAGGAGGGGCTTCACATCAGGGTTTAATTTTTTGACGTTTTTGACTTTTTTGTTTCTTTGAATCAGGGTCTCTGTATGTATCCCTGGAACTCACTATGTAGACCAGGCTAGCCTTGTCCACAAGAACATGGAGTTCCTCGTTTTCTTTCTTTTTCGGGGGGAGGTTTGGAGACAGGGTTTCTCTGTGTATCCCTGGCTGTCCTGGAACTCACTCTGTAGACCAGGCTGGCCTCGAACTCACAGAGATCCGCCTGCCTCTGCTTCCTGAGTGCTGGGATCAAAGGTGTGCACCACCACCGCCCGGCATGAGTGTTTTCTTAACAGTGCTGTGAGTCCCCACTCTGGCACAGGGTGTGGCACAGGACATTGGGCAGCACCCGGCATGTCTGCTGAGTGAATGAGAGGTTGTACAGGGACCCATCTGGGCACAACGGCCACCCAGCCCACTCCTGTCCCTGGACCTCATAGGGCCACCAGGATATCCCTTCTGACCACCGTCTCTTCTTTCCTCAGGACACGGCAGGGCAAGAGCGGTACCGCACCATCACCACAGCCTACTACCGGGGCGCCATGGGTTTCATCCTAATGTATGACATCACCAACGAGGAATCCTTCAATGCCGTGCAGGACTGGTGAGCAGCTCACTCAGAAAGTAAAAGGATCCCAGATAGAACAGTGGCATTGGAGGTAGCTAGAGCGGTGGCTAGAGTGCTTGTAGCTCAGTTGGTGGAGTGCTTGTGGCTCGGTTGCTAGAGTGCTTGTGGCTCAGTGGGCAGAGTACTCCTAGCTCAGTTGAGCGAGTGCCTGCCTGGCTTGGATAAAGCCTTGAGTTCCACTCCAGCATGTCTGAAAAACAATGAACAACAGGAGTCGGGTGGGACAAACCACGTCGGCTGCTTCCAAGGCTTGGGGTTGCAGAAGGACCAAGGGCTCCCATGGTCTGTAGTATTTAACGCTCTGCACACCAGGACGGGTGGGTCGGGTCTGTGGTCCCAGCTCCTTGGCTCGCACGTGTGAGAACCCGGATTAACCCGCAGCTCCGTAAATCAGCTGTCACGTCCCTGCATCCGAAGTAGTGGAGCACCAGACATCATCCCAGCATGTGGGAGGCCGAGGCAGGGGGATGAGAGGTCCAGGACAACCTGAGCTCATGAGGAAGGGAAGGGACCTGGGCAGGGCCGGCCCCTGGCTTCTCCTCAGCCTCTGGCTGCCTCGCGCAGGTCGACTCAGATTAAAACGTACTCGTGGGACAACGCCCAGGTGCTGCTGGTGGGGAACAAGTGTGACATGGAGGACGAGCGAGTGGTGTCCTCGGAACGCGGTCGGCAGCTTGCCGACCACCTGGGTGAGTACCCACAGGACTGCAGCCCTCATCGGGCTCGACCGGGACCCTGACCCCCCACACACCCTGGAGATCGGGCATGAGCGTGAACCCAGGTGGGTCACACTTGTGAAGACCAGCCACTACCCAGGAGGCTTTGGCAGTGGTTCTGATGGACTGGTACTGGTGGGCCTCAGAAGAGTCTAAGTTTTTGGACTGGAAAGCAAAACCTGGGCAGAGGAGTGCATGCTGGGAGCCACGCCACACTTCCGGAGCGGGCACAGCATGCGGGTGTGGAAGGATGGTGTAGGCCAACTGCTCAAGGTGCAGACTGAGGGCCAGCCAAGCCTGTGCAGCTGAGTGGCACCCGACTGCCCCCTAGAGGAAACGTGTCCTGAGCTCCCGAGGAACAGTGGATGCTGAGGGAAACAGGCCTGGGTGCTGGAGGCCTCTGGGCTGGGACTGTGGAGCCCAGCTGGGCGGCAGGTGGGAGGGAGGGGTGTCTGCAGGGTGGCCATCTCTCTAGAGGGCAGGGTCACGGCAGACTCACCCTCCCATGGCCGCCCTCGGGCTCTGCCGTCATTTCTACATTCTCCCGATGCAGGGTTTGAGTTTTTTGAGGCCAGCGCCAAGGACAACATTAATGTCAAGCAGACCTTTGAACGTCTGGTGGATGTGATCTGTGAGAAGATGTCGGAGTCGCTGGATACTGCTGACCCCGCGGTCACAGGCGCCAAGCAGGGTCCGCAGCTCACCGACCAGCAGGCACCTCCTCACCAGGACTGCGCCTGCTGAGCACCCCCGCCAGGGGCGAGTCCCCCATCCCATCACCCTATTTATTATCGTAGCTATTTATTTATTTATTGAGGATGCTCCTGGGCGCGTCCCCGTCCCACCCTGTACATACCCCACCCTGCTCTGCTGTGGTGTGCTATAGGCCCTGCTCCCCACCCTTTAAGACACCCCCCTTTTGGTTTCGTACGCCACCCATCCAGTTGTTGGTCGTGAAGAGGGACCAGATGTCACGGAGATGACGGGCCTGCCAGCTCCGAGGCTGGGGGACTGCCGTGTGGACCACTGGGTCGACAGGCTGGCATCCTGCTGGCCTGGGCCTCTGCCCCGGGCTACTTGACCTTTGGGTGGATAGGATGCGGGGATACGTTCACTCTCACTACTTTGGATATCCCCACCTTGTTCTGACGTCACGAGTGTCAAACGTGCCCCCCCCTAGAAGTTACCAACACTACACACCGTTCAATAAAGCGAATGGACCTTGCTGCGTCTCTGCCGCCCCCCCCCCGCCCCGCCCCCAGCAGCCAGCCTTGTGATTCAAGAGGATTTAGTTTAATGACATTTCCACACGGCTGCCCACCCTCGCACGAAGTTTTCTGAGGCCAAACCAGACCCCATTCCAGGGCTGTAGGGCACATCTGTCTCTGTCACCTGGGGTCCAGGGGACCTGGGGGGGGGCTGCCTGGGCCGCAATGGAGCCCGAGTCACACTGCAGGCCGACAGGGGACTGCCGGCTGGTGCTGATCCCGATCCCGCGGGGCCTCTGCACATGGACTCCGACGGGGCGGCTGGTCCAGCCCAGGGCTCGGACCTGGCCCGGAGCCTCCATCGGGAGTGCGTCCGCCCACCTACTCCTCCACGGGGCTTCCTGCTCAGTCCGTGCAGCCGGGGGTCGGAAGGGGTTCAGGGGCCTGCGTACGGCAGAGGGCGGGTCAGCCGGGCACGGGGTGGTGGTGGTGGTGGGGGGCGACCGCCGAGCCCTCCGCCCCGGGGCTGAGCTCACCCAGTACTTCAGGTAGGAGAGGTACGTGTCCCAGCCCAGGGTCAGCCCGTTGATGTAGGTGACTCGGAAATGTGACGGGATGAACAGGAAGTTCACCAGCTGAGCCGCTGGCCAGACGCACCAGTCGGCCTGGGGAAGGCAGGGCCGTGAGGGCGGGCGGGGGGCGGGCGGGGAGGGCGGGGGGGGGGGGGGGGAGTGGGGCGGGGGGGGGGAGGGCGAGTGGGCCGAAGCCCCCGTGGTGTGGAAGGAAGAACGGGGCGGGGCGGGGTCACCTTGTAGAAGTCCCAGAACTTGGCCCGCAGCTCCCGGCAGCTCTCCTCCAGCGTCTGGCCCTCCAGGCTGCCAAGGCCTGGGAAGACGACCAAGAGGTGAATGAATGAATGAATGAATGTAAGGGCAGCGGCGGCTGCGGGCAGGACTTCGGCAGGGCTGGCCAGGGGAAGTGTGTCGGAAGAGTGTGGCCCGTGTGCTAAGGTCACCCCTGCAGGACCCCGGGACCACCTCACCAGCCGCGGCCCTCACCCCACCCCTCCGGCCCCCGGCAGCCTTGTGTGACCGCAGCTGCACCCCACAGCCCCACAGCCCACTCCCCTCCCAGGGTCGGTCCCCCCCTCCCGACCCCGTCCTGCCCCAGGGCACCCCCCAGAGGCCAGCCGGGGCCACACCTTCCCTGCCTGACCTCTGACCGTCCACCGGCCCGGGTCAGCAGCGGCTCCGGGGACCCCTGGGGACGCCTGTCTGGACCTAACTAAGTGAGCCTGAGCCGATGCGGGGACCCAGCCGCCCACTGCGGGCTCCACCGCGGCCGGGACCCCGGGCAGGCCTCCCTCCCTCGGGCTGTGAGGAGTTCTGGCTTCGACCTCCCCACGACTGTAGCTGAGCTCCTCTGCCCCAGGCTTCTGGTCGGGGTGTTTTAAAAAGCTGGGCGAGGTGACTTAGACCTTTAACCCCAGCACTGGGAGGCAGAGCCAGGCGGGTATCTGTGAGTTCGAGGCCAGCCTGGGCTACAGAGCGAGATCCAGGACAGCCAGGGCGACACAGAGAAACCCTGCCTCGAAAACCAAAGTAAATAAATAGGAAAAGAGGAAGGAAGCACCCCGATGCCGGCCGTCCCCGGGCCCGGGCCAGCCTGCCCGCCGCCAGCTCCGGGGGCCACAGCTCCTTACCCAGGAAGTACCAGACGCCCAGGATGGGAGACGCCACCACCTGATCCACCAGCACCTTCTTCACCACGCTCGGGAGGCTCCGCAGGCCCGCGGCGGGGACCAGGCGGTCCAGCCACAGGTACCAGAAGTGCAGGAAGGGGCCCATGCTGCAGCCCACGGCGAACATGCTGGCTGGGGGCGGGCAGAGTCAGCGCGCGGGCCGGGGGCGCCGGGGTGGGCGGGGAGAGTCAGCGC